GGCAGAGGGTGTACGGGAACCATTTCGTGAGCTGGAGGATTTTCCAGTCACGTCATATGCGTGCACTGGTGATGAGGATCCATTCCCCTTTTCCTGAACACGACAAGCGCTGCGAGGCGCATGTGAACTTTTAATTGTAGTTAAAGGCCAGCGGTAGAATGGCTTAGAGGCCAGCTTGTTGGGTACTTAGAGACTTAGAGCCCTACTTGCCTGCAGCAAGGTTCTGATCCCTGCAATTTCCTGTAGATCCGCCTGCCACCCCCCCGCCCCCCGAATCTCCCTCTTGACTACCACTCGACCTTCAAACAAAGGCAGCCTACAGTTAACATGTATGACCTCTAACACTGAACCTTCTATGGAGGAAGACAAGCTTGAACTCGGATAGGTGTGCTTTCAACTCCGCCTGGGTATACCCTAAACATAAATGCGAAACTTCAAGGAAGACATCTGTACGATTTCAGCTACGTGGCCCGGAGCACGCCTCGGGCATCTTCAGTGGGCACTGCCGCCCCAAGGCCCAGCACGCTAAGGGCTTGAGATTTAGGATTTGGTCATGCTTAGTGTTCGAGATTTTGGGGTTGTCGGCTGCTGGTTAAACATTTATGGTAGAGGGCTTACAGCCGCGTTGAGCACTTTAGCATTTGAGGCTCGCGGGTTTCTTGTCAAGATTCAGGGTTTTGAGGTCCCGGAGCGTAAGCTTGAAGCTTTTAGGTTTTCTTTCCATCGGCCTTTTGCAGAGGTATGCCTCTTACTACTCCGCGCAAGAGCTGCGCAGACTTGGCTCACAATCATTTGAGAGATAAATCGGCCTTGTTTTGGTGTGATTCAGCGAGGGTGAGATCTCTAATCGCAGTCTGCGGGACATCATGTTGCTATAGCATTGGGTGCTGCTCTTTGTGTCCTTACAGTCCACACGTTCCAGTTGAGATCTAAGCCCTCATCTTACGGTTTCTGCGCATGTTTGTTTTCAAGCGAGCTTGCAAGGTTTGAGATGGAGTAGTGCATGGGTGTCGTTACGGCGTAGGATATTTACGTAAGTTTCGAGGTTGAACTAAGGGGTTGGGGGGGTGCTTCATATCCGGGGAAATGTTCCCCAGCGTTGACATGCTGACTGTCTGTGGCATGCATCATCGCTCATTTCTCCACATTCTGGGCCCATTGAGGGTTTCATCTTCACAGACCCCGGCAGCATGAAGGGTTCGTATTTGATTTTGGGAAGATCTTGCGTGGCATCCCTCTACCTTCAATCCTGAGCCTCATAACCAGACATGGGCTGTCCCCTCTGGGCCATCACAAGTGTATGGTATTCCCATGAATCTTGCTGACATTTTGCCCCTGCTTCTGCGGTTGCTTCACGTCGTCACTAGAGCAAGCATGCATCAAGATGCCCACGTGCCTTTCTTGACAGAATCCTAACCCCTGTCCCATCTCCTGCAAGCGGCATCACCCTAGACCTCCGGAAATGTGTGTACTTGGGTATCTCTACAGACTATGGTGTCCAACTCCCAGAACAAAAACCGTACCCAATTCCCTGAGCTTTGGGAACCACAACACGGAGCCAGATTTTCTGTGCAACCCCTGTGGAGGAGTCGCTACGTCTCTGCCGCTTCAACTTATGGCCCAGATTTGTACAGAGGCCTAGGCAGTCACCCTTGGCGCTTCTAGGGCAGCAGGGCTGAGAGCTTTCCCAGTTGAGGGTCACAGGTTAGACTTGGTGTTGGCCTGATTTGCCAGCAAGTTAGGGCTTGAGAGCCAGGAGTCGGTGGTTCGTAATGGGCCCCTGATTTAGATTCACTGTGCTTTGCACAAAGCAACTAGCGCAAGGATCCTACGCTGAGTGATTTAGACTCTTTACCAGGGGAGCTGCTTGGAATATGGATCCCTAGATTACGCAAAACGAGTGAAAGCGAGACTGCGGCCTAGCTTGGAGACAGACTTTGTAGAACTACCTGTAGCTGCTTCTGTCCAAACAGAAAAGCCACTTGCGGCTTTGCATATGGGTGACGTTACTGCAAATATGTGGGCAGTTGGACATTTACGACACAAATGAGCGCAGCCCTGCACCCAATTATCCGCGATTGCTGCTGCCAAGCCCTTCTGGCAGCATTTACAACCACAGACGGCTTCTGCCGTGGACTTGGCTTTTATGGTCCCCTTGTATTTGGGCAGGAAAATAATGTCGCTGTAGTCATGAATATGAAAAAATTCATGACCCAAGCGGCCTTCCGACCCATCTCAGCTTGGACACCGAAACCTTGCTTGCTTTTGTGCATTTTGCCATTTCTGGAACCAAATTCTGTTATGGCCCGGGCATGCCGTTGCAAAATAGATTTCTTTGGAAGCCCTGAAAGTTGGTCCTGTAACTGTAGTCATGAAGCCTTCCTGAGTCCTGGTCACTACATCATCCAACCACACACAACACAGGACCTGCCCAAATATGTGTCTTTTGCGGGCCCGACACAGCGCTTAATCTATCACTCGAAAGCTGTAAGCTTGTGCGAAAACGGAGTGTGCTTGGATTTTGGCTTATTGCTTTGTGTTCAGAAGTTGATTCTGTCCCACTCTATGATACTAAGCGAACATGCTTCCCTGTTGGTGTTATGCGGATGGTCTAATATGAAGGAGTGGGGTCTTGGTAGGTGGCCGTTGCCCCCTCCCGTAAGGATCCTGGTCCAGAAAAGCTACGGTTGAAGTTAATTGGGCCTTGCCTTTAGGACTTGGTACATACCACTCATATAGCTACCAATGACCCTGCAAGTAAATGGGGCTTGCTAGCCAGAGGGACTCTCCTTGATTACCAAAAGACGTGTTTGAAAGAAAGCTGAGGCTGAGAACAGGGCTGTTCTGGTACGGCTAATTACTCTTAAGACCTGGTCCCAAGTTGGAATTGATGTGGTGTACAACCGAAGGCCGCCAAAACCAACCCTCAAACCTGAAGCAATGTAGTTGCGGTTGTAGTCGTCCACCGGACTTATTCCCTTGCACTTTTGCCTTGCGCCAAGCGAGCGACAAACCTCCAAAGCCTTAGATATGTAGCGGAAGCTATTGCACATCATGATTACTCGCTCCCGTGAACTCCCGTACAATTTCGAGTTGGAGCTTGCACTGCTAGGACAGACATGGAACCCGGCCACGAAGATGCACAAGGTTCCATGCCTTTGCCCCAAAGTGGAGAGATCAGAACCCAGATCCGCATCATGGGGCCGACATTCATCAGTCGAAACGGAATCATGCAAAACAGGCCTTCATACCACAAGTAAGGTGAGGGATCGTTTCGGGCATCTTGTCTTCAGATCCTTGAGAGTGTCCGGGCAAGTGCCCTTCCGCAGGCCGTACTGCTTGAGGTGGCTAGCGCCATCAGCATCACTGTTATCATTTATGGTTGCGCTGGATAGAGGAAATCCTGCGCCACCGTCCGTGCTGTCTGTCCTCCAGGATGTTCCGCACGGGGTGCTGGGCTTTTGTCATCCAAGCTAACTCTTAATCCCAAAAGGGGCCCTACAAAGACAGAAGACCTGCTCAAGCAGCGGCCTACGTGTGGTTCCATGTTTGTTTTTCGGAGGCATTTTACCATGCTGCCACCCTGCACGCAGCCGCATGGAAAGCTCTCAAGACGAAATCCACCCCAAAGCCCACAGTCACTTCTCTGCCGAGTGCATGTGGCCGCCTGGCATGAAGCTCTGAGCACTGCTCCTGGATTTGGGTTCCTGAGATAGCAAGGGTGGTCTCTATACGACTGCGCCATTCTGGGAAGCATAATAAATATTGGCCAAATCCAGGTCTGCCTGTCAGGTTACATTCTTCCTGGGGCACATAGGAGGCTCTCAGTGATTAAGCCCAGCCTAGATTGCAGCTACAGTGCAGACACCCTACTCGTAGCATGTGTGCAACTACCCATGAACCTCCAAGCCAAGTCACAAATCCCAAGGCCTTGCAGGAGTTGTCCCGATGACTTACTGTTGTTCTTGCGTCAGTGGATTACCGTTACATAATTGCATATGCAAACTGATGCTGATGACTTCCTTAGGTTTCAAAGCCCTACACGCTCGACCTGAAGGAGGGAGTTTCGGAACATCGTAGCCAGTGCGCAATTGACATCCAGCTGCTAAGCAGCTTCGCACTAGTTAGGTGGTTTGTCATCCTTGCTTCGTCTAGTGGGCCTATGAGATTGCAAAAGCCACTCCCAAGTGTTAAGCGGCCTGGGTGTGGGTCTGGGCGTTTATTGGTTTGTTCCCGAGTTTCTCATACGCAACAGCTAAGCTTGGTGAGTGTGGACGGGGATAGTGTCAGGACGATCCACCTGAGCATTCTGAGGATCATACATAGAGATGAGTCCTTAAAGTGTTGCAGCATGGGCTGAACTATCGAATATGGAAGCAAATATCCAAAACGTTTGTTTGTGTGGCCGGCTCAAGATGCATTTCCCGCGTCATCTCGCGGGAAGCAATGGAAGTGCTCTTGGTGAGAGCAGCTAGACCACAGAGCCTCTACCCGGCCCGTCGTGCTGATAGTTTCGCAACTCACTAAGCAAGCCTTGAGGAGATATGGGGGGGTGTTCTTCAATTTGTTGCGTCCACTTTGGGGCTCAGCACAGGACTTTGCTTTCTTGAGAAGATCCACTTGCCAACTGCCCCCACCTTAAGCTGACTTTTTCGGGTAAGACGGTTACTAGGTCCCTAGGTGGGGGCACATGAACATGGCATAAGTGCCGTGTTAGTCAGGGCAGCATCGTGCTGTCCCAAAGTAAGTGGGTGGTATACCAAGACACATCATGTATTTAAGAGCTTGTGTCGGCCAATCAAGGCACAGCTGCAAGCATCCAAAAACGGCTGTTCTGCTGCAGCAGCTGCTTGTGTCACTTCTTGCGCATGGACATGCCGAAGACATCTTGTATCCGGCCGACTTCGCCATTGTCCTCTGAGGAGGCTGCAGGGCGCTCGTTTAGCGCATGCTGCGGCCATCCCGAGTAAACCTTCATCTGAACTGACAGCGCTGGGTAGGCCAACACAGAATGTGCTCTGCAATGTGCTGCAAGGCATCTTGCCGGAGCAGGAACAGTCACAGACTTTCATCCAGCAACTTCAATGGTCGACCAAAGAGCTGCGACGACATCAGGCAGAGCTGCAGCTGCGAGTTGAGAATGCTTTGGCCGAAGGCTCTATAAGCCAGGCCATTCAGTCGGTTCGCGATGCTCTCCTCTCCGGGTGGCCACTTCGTGCCTTGGAGCAGCCCCTGCAGCGCATTCTTAGAGCTTCAAAGCAAAAACAGGCTGAGGAGTGCCTGCAGTTGTGCCTCCAGATCTTCACTACTTTCCCCGAATTCTGCGGGGAAGCCACTTTCTCCAGTTTAGTTGCCTTGCTTGTGGATTCTGGGAAGCTGGGCACGGCCGAAGAAGTCTTGCAGCACGCCGCTGCCACCAGTCGCATGAAGATGCGGACAGCGCAGCCTCTACTTGAAGCTTTGGCCGAAGACAAAGATCTCAACGGGCTGCAGAGGCTCTTTTTTGATGTTGTGCACCCTATGGTCAAATGCCAACAGGCACACCTAAATGGAAATTCTGTGGAGACATTGCTCCGCGGGTTCGGTACAATGCCAAGCATGCAACAGGAGGTGCTGACATTGTTGTCAGCCACGGCACTAGAGCTACCCAGCAAATGCTTGGAAGCAATTCATGATGGCCTGCGGAAGAGTCAGGAAGAACATGAGCTTCATGTGAGCTTTGTGCTGCAGCCGTGCGGGCCAGCCAGCTGCAGATGTTTGCGGCCGTGTGCAGCCCATGTACAAGAAGCCCACACTCGAGCTGCTGCCCTTCTGAGGATCGGATGCTCCAGCGTTGTTTTAAAATCTTTGCGCGCTTCAGCTATGCGTGGTAGCAAGGGTGGCAACAAGAGTTAGTGTCACGTGTCACATTGTTTTTTTCCCTAGGGAAGAGCGTGGAGGACGCACACACTGCAACGGTTGACGGCCGCATTGCAGGATGCAGGTCGAAGAGTTCCTCAAATTGCCCCTAGAGCAAGACGAAGGGGGATTCTTTGTGAGCCCGGCCCTAGACCAAAAGTTTATTTTGGGGCCGTCAGGGTTTCTCACCTTTTCAGACGTCACTATAGGTGGCGGAGTTCCTGCCAGCTGCTTGGTGGATGGACCAAACATAGGATTCTGAGCTGTGCTTGGGAAGCTTCTTTGCAGTTGGGGTGGCTTATAAGAGGTTAAACTCAGCAGCACTAGGGATAGAGTTGTTGATGATTTTGCTCTATGAGGTTTCTGGGGTTTTTTTAGTGTGGCTTGAAGCAACTTAGGCAAATGTGTAGGAACAGTCATTCGTCTCATGTCCAAACTCTGAAAGACGCCTGGACTTTCCAATTTGGAGTAGCAAGACACTGAAAGCAGGATATCGCGGTGCTGTCCAACGTCGCCAGCATGCAGAAGGTAAACGGGAAGGCGCTAGAGGCAAGAACTTTACGAAGGCCCACGACGTGGTGGTCGAAAACTTGCATGCTGCCTATTTCCGACATGATCAGATTGAAGCGGTCATGCTGCACTTGCGTGAGAAGGGTGAGGCGCCTCTACTCGTGATGCCAGAGAGGCACATTCGCTTACCATGGTCTCCATCAATTGGTCCTCAATAGCTTCACCCGAATCCTGCACCCTAAACCTCAGAGTCCCCTGAAGGTATGTCTTCGGCGTCAACGGCTCAGCAATGACAACGGATGTTGCGCCACGAAAGCCTCTGAATCCTACGGTGCAAAGCTGGCTGTCTGGCAAGGCATTGTTCGTGGTTCCAGATGATGTGCCGGATGATGCAGTCTGGATTTTCGCAAGCTTAACTCCAAACGCGCGGGATCAGAAGCGATATGTCGTGACCAGGGATAAGGCAATGAACCACCGCGCCAGCATTTGGAATATCAGAGTTGAGAATGGTCCCTGCGCAGACTTGGAGCTTGAACGCTCCTTTCGTAGATGGAGCGCGTTGCATTTGCGCTGGTATCTTGCTCAGTACGGCTTAGAATTTCATTGTGCTGTTGCTGTGATGTCTGAAGCCGAACAACCGAACAAACGTAACACTCTTTGCCATGGCCCACCACTACCCAAGGTATGCCATGTCATGGCAACACTGTGACCACTCGCAGGGCGTGAATGTTCGAATTGATGAGTCACAGCCACCATCGCTGGAAATGCAGCAGCATGACGGCAGCTGGTACATTCCGGAGGCGAATGGCTCTCGCTGGCTACGAATTTTCCACGCTGAGCCGGAAAAAGGTTGTCAGACGCCACATATCTAATGCGCTCCTTCTTGTTCTAGTCTCGAAACACCCGCCAGCCCCGATACTATCTTCCCATCAGTCCATGTACGCAACATCTGGAAGCTTTTCTTATGTAAGGAAGCGGAGAAGTCAATGGGAGACTTTCTCAAAACGGGCCAAGAGACGTCCTCGTGACTCTATAACATTTTAGAAATCCAAGGGACCCTCTTTTGAGACGCATTGAAGCCAAAAGCATCCACAATTCGAGCTTCATGAAAGATGGCTCCAGACCGGAACCAGACTTGTAAGCGCATGCCCAGTTCTGAGTCACACCTAAATGAATCCTGGCCTGGAAGCCCTCTACACATATTGAGATTCGCAAAGCAGACTCCACAGGGCCAGTTGTTGAACTACTCGGAAGGTTTGCGGCAAGTTATCTATATTGTCTAACCTATGTATACGTACTCCGTCTTCCCGACCCTACTGTTGCAACATCCTGGCTTCATCTGGAGGGACCGGGTTTCAGGTTTGCAGCGAAGGGCTTGCTGGTTCAGGTGCTTAAGGCTAGGTATTTATGCGCTAAGGGCTTAGGACATCAGAACTCTCTTTCTGGAACAGCTTGGACCCCCTCGGCTCTACAGAGATTCTTAGGGTTTAGGTTAGGGTTCAGGATTTGGTATTGGTGGCGGATTGCCTTGAAAAACGCTCAGACCGGCATGCATCTGTTCGGCTCTGAGCTTGATGGTTTCATGAATTCTGGATATAATTTGGTTGTTCATGCGCTATGCGAGGATATGTTTTTTATGTACTTCTGTATATATGAGCCATAGTCCAAACTCCCAGTTTTCCCTCAATCGACCCTGTAATACTCCCCTATATAATCCCACCCTCTTGAAGGAGTTTAGACTATAGCCCATATATACATATATATATATGGTAGCCCCCCCAAGATCTACGCCTAACCTGTTTTATCTTCATGAATGCTTCATGTGCCATCTTCGTGAACATATTGTATCAGCCGAAAACACTGTAAATAGCGATGAATCCTATACTTTTGAATGAAATTAGTCATAT